TCGAAGCGTTAGCTTTCCTTTGTTCGATCCAGCATTTTGTAACACGGTTCGTAACTGCGTGACCGGCGCAGTGGCTTATGACAATATGCCCGATCCAGTTATCGACAGTTCGCACTGTCAATGGAACGCATAATAATACCGGTCGATTGTTATTGTTCAATAAAATTGTTTGCTTTGTTATAGAACGCATTGTTCAGTTATATGTACCGTGCGGTGATCAATGTACAGGGTGTCTCGTTTATAGCACCGGATATAAATTACTTTCAGTAGGAAGATGTTATTTGGAAATAAGATATTTAGATTGTTTATATTTTATTTGAATAGTTTCGATAGTCATCAGGTTAATATTAAATGGAATTATTGATTATTAGTTATTATTATAAATTGGAAGATATTATTGATAACATTTACAATATAACGTCGCGTTACACTTAACCAAAAGACAAGTTCAACGACCTACGGCATCATGACCTTGAACATTAAATATTTTATGGAGAGCTTCGATATCGTATAAACTCTACTTGACAGTGTTATTTTTTTATTTTCAAAGCAGCAGAAATAGTCTAGGTGGTTCATTATATGTGAGACACCGTGTACATAAACAGTCATCCGTAAAGAACTGCTATGTAAATTTTATGGTGAACACTAAAGCGTAGAAGTTTATATTGAAATACTGATCGGCACAGAAATGAAATTAAACAGAACTTCCACAGAAATAACACGAAACAACATTTTACGCGTTCTAAATCTTCGATATCGTTAAAACAAGACGTACTGCGAATTTGAAACGTATCGACTGGATTATTCCTCTGGACAGTTTATACTCTACGTTCAGTTTATAAAAAAGTAGCATAGTTTTTCGTAACATAACGTGACGCGAAGGATACAGCGAGACAATCAGGAGTAGTGAAATGTTTTGTCTTTGCTGTTATTTGTATGAATAGAAACGAGACGAAAAGGAGGTCGCAAAGCGCGAAGTTAAGGAGGAAACACGCAATGATCTCAAATTAATATGGAAGAATGCATTCAGTTGGGTTTATTGAATTTTAACTTATTCGTCGATCGTGAATCTACATGCTTCCGTCACGCGACTTTGGATAATAAATACTGCAACGCGTAAAATTAATTTTAATACGCTATTTGTTTCGTGTAAGACGGTTGTCGAATCCTAGGTGATATCTTACCTAATGCAATTCTAATTTGCTGAGTTTCCTTGGAAAAAAGTCTTTGTATTTTCCAATTGATAGCAAACATTTATTCGAAACGAGAAATTCACATTTGTATAGCTGATATTTAAGAAAATTTATTTATAAATGTTTTTGAGTTTCAATTACAAAACTATGCGTTTTGTTAAAAATCCTTTTTCGAGAAATAAATAATCCAAATTCTATCTTGAATTCGATTTTTTTAATGTTTTGCAGATTTGCGTATTCTATAAATGTCACTTGGAAATTTAATGCCATTGAATTAAATGTCACTTGTAAATTAACGCTTATTCTGCGTTAGTATCACGTTCATTTATTGCGACAGTTTTATGTTGTGAAATTACTTAACATTTTTATGCAGACTAATATATTCGATGAAAAATGTTGTGTCAGTGAAGAAGTTAAAATGTCAATTTCTTGGGTTGATTCAGTATTAGTGTGGTCACAAACAACATAGAAACAATGCCATGTTGTATTATTTCGACTGTAAAAATTCTTCTGAATAATATCGTGCTCCAAGTATAATCAAATTATTATGTGCATCAATGAAATATTCACAATATTAATACTGTCAGATTGAGTCTCAAATAACTTCCGCTCTCCTTTCGTAAATACCAATCAAAGATACATCACAACTAAGTATTAATCCGCCACTCACAAAAACTATTATTGTAAGCAACTGTTACTAAATTCTAAGCAAGCGTTAGATATTTTGATATGTCATTGACTTATTATTGATTAATTCGATATTACTGGCAGAAGTTATTTAAAACTCGACCCAACAAAATGCCAATCATACATATTTCTTACTTTCTTTCTTGTCACAATGACTTAAACTGTTGGAGAACAAAGATGATGGATTAAGAAAGTACAAGTTACTGTTTTCTATTAACTAAAGTATTAAATTTGCAACAATGTAGTGAATCATCTACAGGTTAATTTAATACTGTTTTTAACTAATTGTTCGTTTAATTAGAATCTTGTTGTTCGTTGAGAGCATTCTTGATTCCGTGAGACACAGATTCAGAATGGGAGATTCTGTAGCGAATGAATGAACAGTATGTTTAATACGTTGACTGCCACGAAAAACTTCTGAGTTTTGTGTATATCTTATTCTTCTGTAGCAAAGATGAAAAGGAACGATTACTTCTTTTTTGGTATTGCGATCATTAGGTTACATTATTATCTATTTATTTACGCTATTGAACATTGTGGTTCGACGTCGGTTGTCTGACAAATTATAATTGTTTTCAAATAATTTGGAAGCTTCGGTCATCGGTGACCACCGTGGCAGTCAACGTGTTAAGAAAGTATCTCATGTGCTCGAGTCGATCATCGAACGATAAACAGTTGTGGAACGCCCAGTGACATTGTAAAAGCGGGATGGTGATTCGTGTGTGCCCATTCCTGTAACTGCTTCTGCGAGTGTCGCGTAAAATTCGTTTACATGTACGCCGTTCAAGTTAGCTGCACGTCCTCCTATTCTTTGGACTCTAAACTTCAAGTGTCTGATCTACGCTCGTCGAGTGATAACAAGTACAATTGCTACGCCACAAATCCAACTAATTTCAAAGTCCCTCGGAGATCGTGAATCGTTATCGACGGTATTAACACATTCGAGATCGTTCGCGTTCGATTGATGAAACGTGCTTCGCAGGTGACAGAGAAAATGTTGAAAATGTTCTGCCAATGATAAAAAACACCGTAACCATACATTTATAATATAAATACATTATATTATTACTTTATATTGTAAATACACGATTATTATTGAACGTTTCTTTCATTTTGTGCAGGTTTGTATTATTTGAGTGAAAGAACAATTCTGCGGTGTCTTGAAAATAAACTCTTGAACATGTGAATAATGAATCTGTAGTACAACCATTTGACCTGGTTTATTGATATTTTTCAATTTTGATTTTATTTTTTTTGTCATTTATATAAATTATAATTGCGACTATTAAATGCCAATAAATATGTATGTATATATTTTGAAGTATAATTGTAATATACAGTTTGGAATAATATGACAGTTTATCAACGAATTGGTAATTAAATTATATAATAAGGACATGTTTTTATATTGTGATACTTCGCTGCTTTCGTAAAGCTAGAATAATAGAAATGACTAATTAAGATTCGTTTTATACAATATATACATTTAAATAATTAAGAAAATTAATATTATGCTAACATAATTTGCACAATTTTTCAGTCAGACTTCGTTCATTACTTTTACTTCGAGTAATATATTAATTAAAATAATTATAAATTAAACGAAGACAAACTATTGCACAACTTCGCCTGAAATCTTCCATGACCGTGAACAAAAGTAATGATGAAAATGAAGGTGGACTACACATTTCTTGAGATACCAATCAAAATCTATTAAAAGTAATCACCATTCAAAGCATAATAATTACATTATCCAGTGCTCACAATATAACTCTCAAGTTTCACCTGACAATATCCAATTTTCATAATTCCATTTTACAAAATACTTGTGCAATATAAAAACTATCGTCGTTATACTCAAATATCGATAGAAGAGAAAGTTGGAAATAACTAGAGAAAAGAATAAAACTATTAAATACATAAAATTTTTAATAATGCAACGATTTAATTTAGTTTCTCTCATAAACCGTGCATACTAACAGTACATTATACAGTAAAACATTAATTATCCACATTATTAATTATCATCATCTTCATCATTCGTATATTAAAACTTTATGAATCAAACTGAATGAAAACAGATGTTCGATTACACATGAAAATACTACGTACAAAAATTTATCGTACAAGCTTAATCAATCTTTTACCAGGCTAATGGAATGGTGATATACCCATTACCGATTCATTAGACATTTCAAGGATCCAACCGAACGAATGCTCGAATCGAACAACAAGAGCAATAAATACAAACCTGTGCAAACCGTTCCAACGAGCACGGAACACGGAATACGGTACTGTCGCAACCGCGAAAGTGTTAATTCGTCACGATCCGCTGGCTTACCGCGCTCAGGGTCTCCGAAAACGGAGAAAAGAATACTGATCCGCCCTTAAAACCTATCTTATCCGTTGTCGCGGTACGCATCTCGTTCCGCGAATAAATGGCCGTGCCCTCGAGAAAATCGCATCCTGCAGGAAGCGTTAACGTTACCGGTCGCGTCGTTTCTCGTGACTCTCTGGATCACCG